GGCAAAAAATAGTTTTGAATAAAAATAAACATTACAACAATATTGAAAATCAATGATATTAACTTACTAAAACAAAATATATATATATATATATATATATATATATATATATTTGTTGTATCCTTAAAGAGGTTACAAACAGACAAAGGTGGTACTTAAGTGAAGGAACAGCAATGCACATGTAGATGAAAAGAGAGGTTTATTGTAAAAGAGAATACACCTTGAAAGACAGGGAATCGGGTGGAAGGCTAGTAATTCCTGTGCTCACTATATATAGCTACTGATATAGTCAGTCCACATAGGTAATAAGGAGTGTGGGACATTCCATTACAACAATATTTTAGAATATTACAACAAAAACATGTAAGGATTGCTACACAACTGCAGTCGTGTTTCAATGATGCATCTCCTCAGGTGATTTTAAAATTTCAATCACCTGAGGAGACGCATCCTTATGTGTTGAAACATGACTGCAATTGTGTAGTGATCATTACATGTTTTTGTTCTAATATCCTAAAATAAATAATATTGCTCTGCTATGTACTGTACCTCTTTTAAATTAAATGTTACGAATGTTGGAAGTGTACTCTATTCGTTCTCATCGTACTGGGATATATATAATTTTATCTTAAAAAATAATTGATATTGGCTAAGTGATGTGTATAATATAAAAAAATCATCAATGTTAATTTATTAAAATGATACACTTATTGTGATAAAATCTGAGTATAAATTACAATTACAAAGTTTTTTGTTTAATATTTCTTTCAAATAATAATTAAAAAAAAAAATTTATTCATGTTTTTAAAAGTTTTTATTCATGCTGTCAAAAATAATAGAAAATTAATATTTTTTTTTTAAATTTTCACATACGAGTGTTTAAATATATTTTTTACAATTATTATTCTTAGTAATCCTGGTTGGGGTTCAGTTTATTACCCAAGAGCAGTAGAAATCGACCCCCCCACTTTTTGTTCAATAAGATCTTAGATTAATGCTAGTTAAGCCATACTATCAAAAAATAACACATGAAACTGATATTTTTTCAGTTTTTTACTTAAGTTTTCACATGTGAGTCTCTCTCTATATATTTTTTACATTTATTATTTTAATCTGCATTTTCACAGAGTTGGACTTTACTCTTCCTGTCTTTGAAAATATTTGTGAATTGTTTGCCATTGTCAAAGATGCCACCTGTGCTTGCTGAGGTAAGGGAGATAACTCTAATGCAGTAGAAAACTACAGAGGGAATGTATAAAAATACTCATGGCATATTATAAGAACCTCTAAGCAATAAATTATACTTGTAGCTACTTTGATTCATGTATGTATATTATAATAGTAGTAGTAATAATAATAATAATTGAATTTGAAAAGTCCACAATATTTTGGGACTATGATATTCAGGCAGACAGACTGATGCAACATTTCTGTCTGGATATTATTGCACTAGATAAAGGCAGAAAGAGCTGTCATATTATTGATATTGCCATACAAAAATATAGCAAACAAATTGAGAAAATTAAAAACTACTTGGATTTGAAAGTTGAGATAACAAGATCGCTTAGAATGCAGGAATGGAATGTCAAGGCGATTCAAGTAGTGATTGGTGCATTGGGATCAATCCTATTAAAACCGAGTGACTTCTTGACCAGCTGGGGATGCCATACCAACTTGGAGTCATCTAAAAATCGGCCCTTTTGGGAACAGCACATATTTTGAGGAAAGTGTTGTTTGTCTGAGGTCCTTGTGGCATCTTGACAGATAACTTAATGTATTGAGTGTATTCAGAAACTTACACTGCGTAACTGTTGTAACCTAGGGAAAGGTTACTGAATAGAATAATCAAACGAAGGTTGGTAATGAATGATAATACTTAGGACATGAACAACATATATAAGATTCCCCAGCGGTGTATAGAAGTAATAGTCAAGTGCTAGAAGTGAGTCAAGTGAATTCCATAATGAATCTTTAACTGCAGATCAACATACAGTATACACTACTATATTTATGGGAATGGGGACATAGCCATTATTGTCTGTAGGTATGCTACAACAGTAACAAAACATAACAATAATAATAAAATAAAAATCAGGCATGGTTGCTAAAAGTAAAAAGATATTTTCTTTTTAAGAACTGAAATAAAAAACAAATTGATCACCAACAAAAATTTTCCTGAAACAAAAAAAAAAAAAAAAAAACATTAAAAAAAATTCATTTTCTATACTGCTTTTAAAATCTTATATTTTATGATATAAGTAGGTTTGCCTATCATTTGGTTCACACTCTAAAAGCAACAACTCTTTACTTCTGACACATCTGCCTAAAACTCTGAACTTTTATTTAATATTGATTTACTTTCTTTTTTTCCCCTCAATAGGAGTTAAAAAGCTTGCCTATCATCTGGTTCATACTCCTCCTTGGTCTGTTGAATAAAATAAAGGCTTATCCTTTCTTTCCTGTTTAGGATTGAGTTTCTGGTTCCTTCCGAAGTTTTTCCCTTCTCTTTCACTTCTGGTGGACCCTTGGTAGCATTATCTCCTTGCTTGGGGGTGGTGTCTCTTACTGTGTAACCCTCTAACTCGAGTAGCTCCTGTGCCTTGTACGGAGTGACCATCATTGTAAAAAACAAAAACATTTTTATCAATGTCTGTAGTCTGATAGAGTTTTAGCTGAATTTTGGACTAAAAAACTCACCGTATAATATTCAATCTATATGGTTAACAAATGTCACAGAATTAAGCGTACAATGTTTTCTGTTATCATTAGACTATGGACATACATACTTATCCGTGAGTATGTGCATATATATATATATATATATATATATATATATATATATATATATATATATTTAAAAATCAGATCAGTTGGATCTTCTACCTTGGTTTCAACCTTATGGTATCTTCAGGCAATTTTTATCAAATGGCCTCTTAATGCTTTAAGTTTTTTTAAAAACTAATGAAGAAAACACTAATAAACAAACACACAATGTTGAGAATTTAAAAGAAAAAAAAAACAACAGACTTCCAACTGTAAGCTTTAAAATTTAAAAAAAGCCAAATTCTTATAACAATCACAATATTTGCCAATCTTTGCCAACAGGAAAAATTAGCAATAATGACATTTCCAGATCCAAAGCACTTTTTGAACCAGAAATCTGAAGTCTTGAGTCCTTGAAGACATATTAAGAAATTCTTCTTAGGCACATATTAGGCTGGATAAAAAAAAAAAAAAAATGTACATTACAATTACCCCCTCTGCCCCATACTTTTATAATACCCTTGCATTTCTTCTCTTTCCCCTTCTTTTTTTACATACACCCTCCTCCACCCTTTCTATTACACCCAACATCGCGTGTTTGCTTATTTATTTAAAAAAAAACAAAATAATATAGCATTCATTTGTTTTTTTAAAAAAAAAATTAATGCGCTGGGAGATCAACTGATAAAAATTGCCTGAGGATACCATAAAGTTGAATCCAAGGTAGTGGATTCAACTGATCTCCTAATTTTTAAAGTTAAAAGCTTTACATGTTATTTTTACTTTTATTTTTTTCACACATGTATTGAGCACTTTTTAATACCACTGTTTCCTGGTCTGATTCAACTCTGACCATTAATCTTTTATGTATGTGTATATATATTTTTTTAATGAATTCATCCCAAGGAAGGTGATAATGCCACTAGGATGCCTGGTGTTACTGGGAGTGAAAGAGAATGTTAGGACATATTTCAATTAATGGATAAACACTGGCTTAAGTGCCTTGACAACAGAGATTATGCAGCACAGAGATGAATATTTGAGTGAAACAAATTGTTTTCACCATTAGTTTATGCATTTATTGACTAATTTACCCATGTGTGCTTGTTTGAAAGATAATAATTTCAAATATTGGTGTTCAAGAAAGAAACAAAATCCATTTGTAGTATAAAAAAAGACAATAACAATATGGGTATTCCAAAAATTATGGTGACAGCTATCTTCGCATTTTCTGAAACAAAATTGATAGATTTTTATTCATTTTTCCCATGCAAGTTTAAAGTTTCATTATTCCATGTTATTCAAGTTAGTAGAAACTGGGACCAAGAACTTTGATCTGTTGAGCTCAGTCATACTATCAGAATTAAGGATAGGAATCAGTTTCAGGAACTTCTTTTTTTTTTCTTACTCTAGTGTTCACTTCCAGAAGGCTCCAGAGCCACTCAAGATAGAAAGTTACTGAATGTTAGTTTTATGAATGTAAGAATTGTAGATTATAAGAATATTTAGGATAGATTATTCCATTGGGGAGATGTAAATTCCACTCTAGCAGCAGCTTCCCATGAAGGACTGCTTTGTGGAAACAACTCCCAAGAGGATGCTTCCTTGATCACTACAATCTTAACTTGTTCAAGTTTCAAATTAACTGTACCTTACTCTTTCACGCTCTATCGCGAGTGGCTCTCGAGCCTTGTACAAGGTAAACATCATTGTAAAAAAAAAAAAATAAAAAAAATAAAAATCAAAATAAAATAAAATAAAAAAAATACCAAATTGTAATTCAAGATTACAGATGGCAATGTTGAAGGCAATGATTGCCCAAGACTGGCCGAGAGGATATTTTACTGACATAACATCATGCCCAATGCCAATTTCAAATGTTATAATTTGCTTTCAGTAACAAATTTCAGTGTTCCTCTGCACCAAGACAAGAGAAAGTACTTAAACAGGAATACAAACAGCTAAACTAAATTAACAAAAGCAGCATTATGTAAATTAATTCAACTGAAGTATGACTAAAATAGTCAGCTTAAGATTAGTTGGCTTAAGTCAACAAAGCAACAAGTTTTTCTTTAAGATACTGCAATAGGTTCAAGTTTAAACTTTTATGAATGAAATATAGAAGATATTAAGAATGAAAAAAAAAAGTGAACATTGATTTAGCTTCAATAACTTCATATTATTTATATTTTTAGATGTTTTTTTTTTGTTTCAGAAGATTGGAAACATTTATTTACCTCTGTCATTGTTTGGATCAAATGATGCTGGATCAATGATACTCAGTAGAATCAGAAGGTCTTCATCATCCAACAAACCCATCACCAGTAAATTGTCGCAGACTTTTAACAGAGGTCTACAAAAGAAAAATCACAGAGCAAAAAGTAGTGACAATGGTCCCTGGGATTAATAAATGTCTTTACAACATAACCCCTTATTATTCCTACTGTTATGTTTTGCATATATCTCCGCATAATAGTAATTGTAGTACAGTTCTCTATGTTCTGAATAGCAACCAGGTTTGCTAGGCATTGCCCCTATGTTTGCTTGTTATTCTCTATTTATACTTGTCTATCTAATTTGCAAATAATACTACACATTAAAACTTCTGAAACAGGGTTTCTGAAATTTAAAGAATTTCTCTGACTATATCATTCACAGGCATACAACACTACTCATTCACAGCAAAAAAAAAAGAAAAAAGAAAGAAAAAAAAAAAGAACAGAAACCTTCAAATAACCAAATATTAACATGATTACAAGCCAACTTTACCAAGAACTCATCCATTCAATTAAGTACTTCTTCACTGTCATACAGCACTTTGTATGAAAAACTTGGTCTTATATTTCCTGTTTAATAAGTTATCACCAAATAAAAAAAAAAAAATGTATAAAGTAATTTTACAAGTTCATAAGCTCTTTTTATATAAAATTAGGAAAGTAATGTTTTACTTACACAAAAAGGTTTTCATTGCTGCCACCGATAGGATCTCGGATATGTGCTGCTCCTTTCACAACGGCTTCATTCAATGAGTAGATAACATATTTTTTGAGTTTGTCCATAGGGTAAAATGGACAGAGAGATTCAATAGGGATAGTTTTAGCCCTGAATGGTGAAAATTTAAAACAAATGTGAATATTGTTAACTCAAACAAAAATAAAAAAAGTGTTCTTTTCTCAACTTTTAACCTGGAAAAATATAATGAAAATTATTTAAGGAATTTCTATAAATTATAGATCCTACCGATGTGTTATGAACTTTACACATATAAGGAAACAAGAACTGTCTGCATAAAAATATATATGTAAAGTTCATAACACATCAGCAGAACCTGCAGTTTATAGATATGTTGCATTGTGGTTATCCTGATAAAATAATACATGGCAAATGCAACACTTTACGTAATTATAAAGTGTTTCTTTGGTAATCATGGCTAAACCCACTCCTGCATAATCTTCAATTTGTTATGCATACTTATGATACCAACAGGAAAGCTTTAACATTTAAAAACATTGCTTTTATATGGAAAGGATTACTTTTATTGCTTTTCTGTTACTTCAAAATGGTGGACTCTCCCATTGTATTTGACGTATAAGGGTCAAGCGGCTCAGTTCCTAGGAACCGACAGCCAGACACAAGCACATATGATTTGATTATAGTGGTGAAGGCTTTGTGCAGAACCAACCATACTTTTCAAAGGGCTGAATACAAAGACTTGGTGCACTACGTGCCACAAGGTCCCCAAACGACCCTCCGAAGGTTTTGAATTCAGAATTGTCCTTCTCCTTGACCAGTTGAAATTTGAGGCTATAGAACCCAGTTTGCCCTGCTATTTACCCACAGCAGCAGGGAGAAGAGGGTTAATATATTTTCAAAGGGTATTAGCACATAAGTGAATGCAATGGATTTCAAAATATCGTTATAATAATAATTATCTTTTGTAACCATTCAGTACAAGACTATAATTTCTTTTTTCCTAACAAAAAAATATGCTTGTGTACTTTGGAAAAGCAATTTCACAGAAAAATTTTTGCTCTCAAATATATATTTTTTTCTTCTAAATCTATTTCTTAAATAATTGTTACTATGCAGTGATGATACAGGATCATACTGATGAAAATGAACCTTGACAGACAAATAATGACAATAACAAAAACAATTTATGTTCTTTGTCAATAAAAATAATTGATTTTAAAGCCTTTTCTTAATTTTCATCAATTTTTAAAAAAATTTTAAGTTAATATTACTTTTTACAAATAAAAAACAAATTTTGCAAATTGTAAAAAAATTGCTACACTGCCCTTAATCATTGCTGTGGTGCCCTCATTTTTAAGGGGTCCACCAAGAGAATTTTTGCCTGCCCCTATCTTAGGCTAAACTCATCCCTGCATATAGGTAAATAGATATCATGTGACAATTCAGTACTCATTTTTTTTTTGTTTTTAATTAAATTTTTCTTTTTCATAATACTTTGCTTGGCTTTTGGAAGGCATCTTTCACTATCCCAATGCCAAACTGATAAAGGTCACACAACTTACTAGCAAATATGTGGTGATACAAATAATTGTTCAATTATTGCTGAATTGGGCATTCTTTATTTTTATATATAATGACATTGCTTATTCTTTATTTTACAGCTTTAATAATGAGTGGTGAAAAAATTGCAATTAGCGCCATTTCATGGTACCAGTGGAAAAAAGGCTTGAATGCAAGTGCAACAGAAAGATTGTCAGCAGAATTTGGTCCTTGACAAAGTATCATCAATCAACACCACTATAAGCTTGGCTTTGTGAAGAGATGTTGTTGAGAAGTTCCTCAAGAACTGACCAAAGACCTGGCTCAACAACATGAGAACATTTGCAAACAACTGCTAACAAATTCTTAAGATGCCTGTTTTTGACATCAAATTTTAACTGGGAATGAGAAATTGATTTATATTCATAATCAAAATAAAAGAAATTGGTGTTTCATTGTGGCCAGGCTTCAGAACCTGTTGTTTAAACAGAAGACCATATGTGTTTGGTGAAATTTTGAGGAAGTGTTTTGCTTTGAGCTTGTCCCAGATGGTCATGCTGTGGACACTAACCTTTATGCTCAACAGCTGCAGTGAGTATATAATACTTTGATAGCCTGCTAACTGGAACTGGTCAAATGAAGAGACACACTCCTACACTATAACAAAAATCCCAGCACACACTGCAATGTAGCCAAGCACAAAATTGAGGAACTTGAGCCGGAAATGCTGTCTCAACCTGCCTACAGTCCAGAGCTTGCCCCCATCAGATTACCTTCTTTTACCATCATACCACATTTCATATGTGGATAGAGGGTCAACAATATGGATAATGTTGAAAATGGATGCAGGGGAATTTTTTTATCTCTAAACCAGCCAAATTGTATAATTGAGCTTCTGGTATGACAATGGCAACAAATAAAAGAATATGATGAGATATATTTTGATGAATAAATGCCTTTTATATTATAATTTGTTTGAAGTATTAATTAAAGTTTGAAATATGAAAAAACATTTGACTCAACCTAATATATATACATATAATAATAATAATAATAATTAAAAAGCACTTACCTATCTTCAATTTGTTTTTCTGTAACATAAAGGCAAGGGCGAATTGAAACACTTTCTTCCATTTTGGGGATAGCATATTTAATTTTAAAAGTAGTTGAATCAGGGCTTGGTTTTCGGTATAAGCAAAGGTTTTTAGTTTTATCATCCCGGGGTATGATATATTCATTTTGAGTCATCATTCTGCAATTAAGCAAAGAAATGGGCCAATTTTCAAGTATTGTTCAACTGCATCATTTAATAACATGAATTTGGATGTTTAATTTTGTCAGTGTCCATCTTGCATGTTTATACATCTGCCATTGTGGCCTTGCCTGCTCCTGCTATAGAGCTTGAAATCCTTGATAAACTTGACAATAATTAACTAGACATTTAATAACAAAAACACCACTCACCTTGAACATTTTTTTTAATCATTTTAACACAAGCAAGGCAGGAATGCCACTAGTACATAGAGGGTTACATGGAGTGAAAATGAGAGAAAAGACTGAGTATAGGGAGGACTGAGGAAAGGACAAAAGATGAATGGGATTCAAGAAAATAGATGGTGATTGACATTGCATTTAAATTTTTGAAGGTTGTAGTTATCAGGGAAGCAAGAAAATGGAAGGGAGTTCCATAGGTAGGAAGTGTGAGAAAAGAAACTGAAAAGAAGTGATGGTTGCATTTCAATAGTAAACAGGTGGGACCTAGAAGCCAATCTAGTAGAAAGTTTAAATTCATGTAGTTGGGGCACCAGGAAAAAAGCGTTAAATTACATATTTTTGCATATATCAATAGGTATTATTATTTTAACTTTTAATATTCAAAAATTATACAAGAATGAACTTAATGTGTACAGTAAGAGGAAGAATGGAGTCAGTTTTTGGTTATATTTAGAGTTCTATTTTGTGCATAAACTGAATTATAATTGTAGGTAAGACATGTTCTTTATGCTTTGCCAAGTGTTAATGATAAGCTTAAAAAGTAACAAGTATTATAATGGCAATAAATATTTTGGATTCAAACAGAAATGTTGACATCAATTTGGTAAAGAGAAGAACTTTTAATTCTCAAAAATTACAGCATGATAGAGAATTTAAAAAGTAAACAAACAGAGAATGCTACTGAATTATTGTAGTCAATCAGTTATTTGTTTGTATTGTTGTATAGGTCCCTCATTCTGGGGAGGTCTTTTGTGATGGCATCAATTTGATAATAAAGCATTCTTCTTTCATGGCTGGTGATTGCTAGTTGTTTTGAGTTCAGAGATAAAAGAACTTCAGCATAGCGAATTTTAACTTAGCTAGTTTATTAATATTGACATATACGTCTTCTAACAATCCAGTAGGGGTCGCTCACTCTCCAATGGGGAGCTAGGTAAAAATAAAAATGATAATTCAAGGTATATTGTTAATAAGTATGCAATGGAGGTAGAGAATAAAGAGATGAAATTTTTGTATTTGGTCAGTCTTGTACTTGATTTGGAATGTCTGAAATTTTTATTATGAAGGCATCTAGTTTATTTTTTGTTTATTGGTAGTAATTAATTTATTGATAAGAATTTAAATTGTTCTTTTGAAACTATGGTTCCAAATCAAAGGAGAGAATTATCCCTTACAATAACACAAATAATCTTTTAATAAAAGTAAAAAAAAACAAAAACTAACTCACCTGGCCTTTGCATGATAATCCATATGCATTGCAATCAGCAAATCATGGAAGCCATGTCTTAGAGGGCCTGACATATCTGAAAGTTTATTAAAAGATAAGAAAATAAGAAATAATTGTTGGTTAGACAAAACTTCTTATTGTAATTCCCAGGCAGAGTTTGATTCTTTATATCTAAACCTTGTTGCTTGCTAATGATTGTTATGTAATTATCTGGAGTTGAGATTTTTAAAAAAAAGTAACAGAAAAGATGAAAGAAATACAAGTTGAAAATTAGGTACCTCCATAAAAACGCTAATAAATTAGCATACTGTGATGAAAACATGCTTCAAACATAATGAAAACATAGTTTTATCATCAAAATTGTTGTGTTATTATTAAGAGGAATCAAAGTATTTTTTGATTATTTAATTAAATATTTTTAAACATTTGAGATTTTGATTAAAAAACTTGTTTTTCTTGTGTCAATGGTTGCATTAACTTTTAGCATAGCAAATTTTAGCCTCTTTTTTCATGGTGATAGAAACATTAATTTGGAAATTCTTGCAAAATTCAAATAATTGTCAGATTTTAATGAAATTTTCAGGACTTCACAAATGAAAGAAATTATTTTTGAAATTTTTTTCATTAGAAAATCTTGGGTAAAAATATATCAGCCCCTTAACTTTATGAAAACTTGAGAAATTCATTGAGGTAATTTTTAGTAACTATATTAGTTAAAAGCAAAATTCTTTGAAGAATTGAAATCACCAAATTCTTTTGGCAAAATCAAACCTCATTTTACTGAAAATGTTCTGAATTGAAAAATGAAAAAAAATGTAGTAAAACTAAGACATCATTTAATTAGAGTAGCTTTTAATTGCTTTTATGAATAATATATATTAAAGACAATATTGTCTGAAGAAAAAAAAATTTTTTGACAAAAATGAATTTTTACAATTTTAAATTGAATAATCTCTGAAGTTTTTAAATCTTTGAAAAATTCATTTTCAATGAGATAATTTTTAGGAAATATTGTTATTAAATAAAACTACATTGATTAATCATATGTTGTAAAGCTTATAACAATGTGATGACCCTGTATATTTTTAAAAGAATTTTGATTTATTTTTTTATGCATAGAAGCATTTTCCCACACTTTCAGCACAATTTTAGGGTGTGCGTAATATGGATGAAGGCATATTATACATGGGGAATTACTGTAATTTAACTTTAGATTTGCTAATTTTCCTCAAATAACATTTCAGAAATATATATTTTATTTTTGGAAGATTTTTAAAACTGAGAATTAACTTTTGTTTACGAAGGTGTCAAAAATGGCTGTTTTGAAAAAAATCGATTCCGATCAATATAATTTCTGTTTCAAGTACACCACAGAGTAAATACTTACTGAAAATAGTAAATTTTAAATCCTTTAGCTTTCAAATATAGCTAAAATGAAAGCTTTAAGAAAGCTTTTTCACTTTTAAAAATTATTTTAAAATTTATGTATACCAAATTAGTGGAGGTATCTAGTTAAAATTATCTCTTGCTTGTGGAAACAGTTTCTTTGTTGAGGATTCTAGTTATCATATTAACACAGCCCTTTTCTTATATGGTGTTGTGGTTTGACGAACTACAGCTGGTTTGTGAATTTTAGATATCAGCCTTGTTGACAACATATCACAAAAATTGCAGCAATATCCCAAACTGGTGAATATTCATCAATTCAAACAGGGAATTTTGGTTTGGGGCCTGCATATGATTGATTTCTTTTTATGATGCCTCAACTCTTTGAGTGTTATTTAAATCTCAAACATTTCCATGTGTAGATGTCTACTTGTTCCTGATGTTTTCAAGCAGTCACCTAAATACAGGCTAGGCTTGATATGGGATGAGAGCTGGAGTTTCAGCACGATTTTACCATAAGCCCTGCATGCAATGTGATAAAAATATAGTTTTAAGGTATGCTATATTTGTGGGTTAAAGTTCTCAATATCAAGGATAGAGCGTATGTAAACATAAAAGTGGACATCAAAATCAACACCCAGTGGTGACAGTTTCATGCTTAAACAATCGCCAGGCCATGACAATTACATTTAACCTTGTAGCAGACTGTCACTGCTGGGTGTTGACCTCAATGTCTGATATATATATATATATATATATATGTGTGTGTATATATATATATGTGTGTGTGTGTGTGTGTGTATATATATATATATATGTGTGTGTGTGTGTGTATATATGTGTGTGTGTGTATATATATATATATATATATATATGTGTGTGTGTGTGTATATATATATGTGTGTGTATGTATATATATATATATATATGTATGTGTGTGTGTGTGTGTGTATATATATATATATATATATATATATATAAGAAAAAAATATATACGAAAAAACAAACAAAAATCCTTATATACAATTATGCTGTTTTAATGTTAGTATGTCAACGCCGGATGTTTCGGTCTAATAAACCATCTTCAGGATATATTCATAAAATATAATTAACATTATCAATACAACATGACAAAGACGATGTACATAAGAAAAAGACTTATCCAAACAGAATAACTGAAAGTTTTATAAGATCAGCGCTCCGTTTAAAACATGGTCACGTTGTCGTCACGTGCGACGCTGAAAAACGTATTCCTAAAATTTGAGTATTTTGAATGAAAAATGAAAAGAATTCTATTTTGATCTAAAATTTATATGTACGCTTGTCGAGCATTAATCTCGCTAGAAAAGGGTGAATACTAGACCTGGCTTCTTTAGTATTTCCCCTTTTCTGAAAATGAGAAAATCTACAGTCAGTTGCTGAAACCTCCTGACAAGTGGACAGAACAATTACAAAAGGTTTTTTTCTATGAAACTCTAGAGTAGAAAAAAAAAAGATAAAAATTTCTTTTTATCATTTCTTTTCATATTTTATTTTAGACTGCAATAAAGACCTATCTGAAATGTACTACTTACATCAATAACATTTTTTTCTGGATGCTTAGGGGGCTAGTAGCCTATCATTACTAACTGAAACCAAAGATCTATTTTCCAAGCAATACCTCACCACAAAACAAAGTAGGCTCAGGAGCACTGACATCTCAGGTAATGGCCAAGGGAAACAGGTAATATTTATGACTCACTAATGTGACCTTGACTTGTAAGCCTGATACACACCAAAAAGTAATTATCTGTGTAAGATAACAATTCTTTACCAAAAGATGAATGGAAATATGGATTAGGATTATCTGAATGAGCTATTTATGACAAAGAACTCTTATGGCTAAATCCCCCAAGATAATCCAATCAAAGTGTAAAAAAGAGAAATTATACGAAGACAAATATAACAGGAAATGAGAAGCAAAATACTTACATTCACTTTCGATACAATAAAACAATTGTTTATCATCAACATGTTTGGTAAGGGCGTGGGCAACTCTATGATTGCCATGGGAACAAACTGCTTGATAAAGGTCCAGTGTACGGGCATGGAAACTGTTTAAAAATAAATCAGAGAAAGAAACAATCAGAAAGAGACAAATAAAAAAATAAACATGAAGTGGAATTTCTCACATTTATAAATTCTTATACAGTAGTCCACTGCTATAGCACAATCTTGGGTTTCCAAGATGGCTGAACCCCTACAAGTAATTTGCATTACTGTTTGGGCAATAATAGAAAGTTCAACACCTACTTGATTTTTGGGCACTATTTGCCCTATTTTGCGACATATACCATATATAATGGCTTGAAAAGAACCTAAAAAAATTATACTAATTTATGCCAATGATTCCACGAGAAATTTTGGGTAATTTGCTTTAAGCCGCGTGCTAAGTATCTAATAAAAATTTCCAGAACAGTTATTTTTTCTTCTAAAAATACATGCCTAATTCAAAAATAACAAAGAATTTTTTATAAAATCTACCATTTTGGAGTTATCAACAATAAAAGTTCAGACTCATTCGTGTCATTGTTGGCTGCAGCACAGCAGCCATTATTTGTGTTATTTGTATCAGTGTGTGTGTGTAATAATTGAGACAAGTGAATGTCTATACAAGAGCAAATATATGCAAACAATGCCAGTAATGGCTGCCACGATGCAAATGAGTGAACTTTTATTGTTGTAAACTCCAAAAAGGTAGATTTTATCAAAATTTCTTTGTTATTTTAGAATTAAGCATGTAAATTCACATGTAAATATAAGTATTCAGGAAGCACGGGGCTTAAAAAGCAAATTACCCAAAATTTGAACTTATTTCAGTGTTTTACAGCAGATTTTTTATACAATAAATTTTAACTGTCTTCAAAAGTACTTCCTCTTGCAATGCATTATGGTCTAGTTTGAAAAGTAGTCTGGTGTTGTAAAAGGAAAAGACAAACACGGAAAGTGTGAATTATAAGAAATTAAATTTATTTCCACAAATATCATGTTTGCTAAATCAGAATAAGCACAATAGTTATATAAATTAATAAAAAAATACATTCATATTAATAAAATCATCAATGTCCATCAACTCAATATTTAATAAAAAAAGTCAGTGAGCTTCTTCTGCACCCAGCTCTTCCTAGCACTTAACTAAGTCCTCCTGGGAAGGTTTCACAGGTGTAGAGTGATGATGAATTCCTTTTCCTGCTGCCCTTCCACATAATGAGCCAGTGGAGGTGGTCTACTGCATCAGTGTGGCTGGTGCTGTGGGTGCTTCTTCTTCCTCCTCATCCTCTTTCTTCACGTTATTTAGGATCTCCTGTTTGGTCAGAGTCTCTGTCTCTGGGGTGTCATCCCCCTCCTCTACCTGGGACCACATGTTGACCCAGTTCTGGAGGGTGCAGTCTGCATACAGGTGTTCCTCCAGCCGCTTCTAGGCTGTCTGGATCTCTGCAGAAGTGAAGCCATCAAATGGCACCACCTCTGCCTCAGCATCCTCCTTGTCGAAGGCCCCACCCAAGGCCTTCCTCCAACAGTTCCACATTGTAGCCTTGGAGATTGTTTCTCAGGCCTTGGCTGTCAGGTGAAGGAGTCCATCAAGGTCAGCTCCTTCAGGTAGCCTGTGATGGTGCCTGGCAGGTCCAGCATCTCCATCACCAGTTCCTTCTTGTATAAGGACTTGATGATGCTGGCATAACAGGGCTGAATCTTCGATGTGGTGTTCTTAGGTAGATACTTCAGAAAGATCTGCCCGTCTGGAAGCCTCAGGGTACTGGGTGCTGGGTGGGCACTGAAGTTGTCCAACATCAAGACTGCCTTCTCTGGTAGATTCCTCGAGTGCAGGTGCCTCCTGGGGATGAGGTCCTTGAAGAACCAGTTCTTGAAGATCTCAGAAGTCATCCAGCTCCTTGCAGAGTTGGAATACAGCAGTGAGAGAGTGGCCATATTCACATAGTGGAGGCACCTAGGAGACCGGAACTTCCCCACTGCCAAGGGCTTCAGCTTGTGGGTCCCAGCAGCATTGTAGGTGAACAGGACATTGATGCAGTTCTTTGCCTGCTTGAAGCCCTTGGTCTTGTGGATGCCATCATTCATGGCCAAGGTTCTGTCAGGGAACATCTTGTAGAAGAGGCCTGTCTCATCTGCATTGCAGAGCTGTTCTTTGGTCAGGGCCTCCTCCTCCAGGAACTCCTTCAGCTGGGCTGTGAAGGAGTCTGCTCCTATGCCATGCCTCTTTTAGCGACCCTGAAGCCACTCCTTGTTGGCAATGAAGTCTCCCTCACCCTCATCCCCATAGAGCTGGTGGGGAAACTTCTGTGCCTGGTGTCTCACAATGGGACCTGACAGAGAAGTCACAAACCAGTCCAAACCTTGTCCAGTTGTTTATCATTGGCTGTCTGAGCCTTCTTTCTACACAGTCCTTCTGACCCATGGACAATCTCTGTGGACTCTCACAGCTTGGTCTCCTCCTTCATCCAATCCCTGAGGGTGGATTCAGGTACCCCTGTATCTCTGCTGATTTGTTTCATCATTCTGTATCCTATCAAATGCAGTTTTTCCTTTACTGTGTATGCTTTACGTTTAGACATTTTGTATTACTACTAGGGGTTAGAATTTCATGGGAATTCCTGATTGCAACCCCTAATTACTACATGCTATTTATATTTGTTTGTTTATGAGAGATTCTTGATGTCTACTATTGGACAGTCAAATTAAACATGATCAACCAGAGAAAAGTAATCCTATTTATATCTCATCCATGGTATCTTATTGCAGTGATTGAATTCCTGTTAATTAGTCCGATATTATTGGAACTCTTTGATTGCGCATGAAATAGAAAGTAATCATGTGTAATTATTACCAATACAATTGGATTAGGTGTGAAACAGCTGAGGTGTTAAAATTTTGCAAAATTTAGGCTGTTTGATCATCAAATTCAAGGTAAAACATGTGAAAAAGGGGTGTAATTATTAAAACAAATTAGGACCCATTTGATGGTCGCTGTTAGTTCTGTGTCATGAAGATGGCCCAGAAATTGGTAAAGTAGAGTGGAATTTCTAAAAAAGTGAGCAATATTGAGGGTAGCAAAATCTTGGGGCCCATGACCCACCTGTGGTACTGCAGTAAATTGTTTCGCTTAATAGTGGTGGACTACAGTATTTGTAAAAATATCACACACACAAATAATATATACACACACACACACACACACACACACACAGAGTGTGTGAAAATTAAATTTATGTATGTTAATATTATTATATTAATATACATAATATTATAATAGCTTTTCTAGTTACTGTCCTGTTTTCTCTAATAAATCATTGTATACTGGGACTGTTGGGTTCAAGAAGAGAAAAGGATGAGAATAAAATAAAGGGCTTTGTTCAACATTCCTTAATGGTTACCAGATATAACATTTTCCAAATGAGTCACAATAATGTTATTTCTTGATTAGATTAACAAAAAGCCTATGTTAAAACATAAGAGGGAGGTATGGTGGAGTAATGGATAGTGACTCAGATTGAGGAATCAGAGAGCCAAGTTTAAATTCCAGTTGAATTCATTACATTCACTTATGTTCTAATATCCTTGGGAAAGGTATGAATCCTCTTCTTCTTTCCCCAGCTATGGCTAAATAGCAGGACAGACTGGGTTCTGTAGCCTTGAATGGCAACTGGTCTACCACAGAAAGAAATGACAACCTACTGCAGGAAAAAAATCAGCCTCATCAGTCATGTATCGAAAGATACATGATCACCTAACTGACTGATGTTAAAAAAAAAAAAACAACTAAGTTGAAGATGTAATAATCATAGTGTGATAATGTTACTCATTGTTCAGAAGATAAAAAGAAAAGAAACCAAAATGACTTACTTGAGTAATGCAGGGTATTCTATAAGCTCTAAGATATCCAGACAGCTGTCTTCTTCTGGGATATAGACAGCCATCATCGAAACTGAAATAAGAAGAAACCAATTTTAATATACAAAGCAAAGAAGCAAAACATATGACAAGTCAGTGTGATATTAAAAGCATTTTTTGTGAAATAAGAAAAAAACAAATTTGAAAAGTAACTTAATATATGCTTTTTTTGAACAAGTTTCTTTTTAAATCAGAATATTGCTGTTCTTTGCGTATTTCAAAAATGAAAAAACAGGCAAAAGGTGTGTCCTTTAACTTAGGCCTTTTTAGAATCGCACTGAAAATATTTATTTCATCCTTGAACATAAAATAAACTCTGAAGTAAAAAAATTATGTAATAAAATTTTGCATGTATAATATATATATATATATATATATGTGTGTGTGTGAAAAGTGTATATAAATAAATATATATATGTATAATTATTTATATATTATATGCGTGGTACTTATTAGAAAGCGCTCAATATCAGAGATAGAGCTAACATATTTGGTTGGATAGATGTGAGTTTGTGACCCTGGGTTTCACGCTTTAGCGATCGTCAGACAATCCAGGGTCACAAACTCACATCTATCCAACCAAAATATATATATATATATATATATATATATATATATATATACATACACACACACACATACATACAGATTAATTATATCTACAATTCTCAAAATGTATGTGTGCATGATCGGATGTTGTTTATGTGTTTTCACATTTCAATGAAATTTTTATGTTTGATAGATAATTCTTCAGTGCTGGTTTTAAGTCTAAATTGGCTGGAAAAAATTACAACCTTGGTGAAAAATTGAAAAAACTGATTTTTTACATTTTGCTTCAAAAATCAAATGCAAAATTTCAATGTCTGTAAAAAAACAGCATACAATCAATTTAAAAAGTTGAAATCTAACGCAAAAGATTATTAGAATTATAAAAAAAAATATAAATAAAAATTATATATTATTATTATGATGGTCCATGGAAGAAGTTCCTTCCTTGCAAGATTGAGAACACAAAAACGGCCCTTTTCAGGCCTCCCCAGTCAAATTGTTAACTCCCGATTTAGGGATGTGCCTCAGTTGCACCCAAATGTTGTTACTAATATTGATTTTCTGGTGAGTTGACTTTGAACATAAACTGCTCCAATTGAACGGCAAAAATTCCCAGTAACGAAAAACCCGGTCGAAGATGGGTTATACTGCTAGTTTATCTATATATTTATTTATCTTGATTTTAAATATGCAGACATTGAGCTAAATATACAGTTATAATTACTATTCAGAATCCAAAGTTATAATCATTTTTTGTATGTCTTTTTTGTTATGACTTATCTGTTACGTTTACGTTGAAACCAAGGTAATGGAATCAGCTGATCCCCTAATTTTAAAACTGTGTATATATATATATATATATATATGTGTGTGTGTATAATTAATTGTGTATTTGGCAGCAATCCCTCTTTTATACAAGTTTCATTGAAGATGACTGAGAGGGCATTGCAATTAAGCTTTTTATTATATTTTATTTGAATTCCTTTTGTGGATATTGAGTATATAAAAAATGTCCAAATGATCTGTGGATCCAAATATAGATTAGAATATTTTACTTTGTTTCATACTAAAATTACTAAAATGTCACTATGAGCAGGTTTTGTTATGCTTGGCACTATTTTTAGTTTTCACTTCCTTACCTGGTTCCTCACACACTAAACTCCAGCCTCTAACTTCGGACATTTTTATGGAGTGTGCTTTGAGGGAAGTATTTGGCACTCTGGCCCAGTAGGATGATTTCATCACTTGTAAATCTAATCGTGGGGGACATGCAGGCTGGATGTGTTTAGGACCACGGAACAGAGCGGCAGACAAAGGCAAGGTATTCTGGAAAAAAGAAAAGTTAAAAAAGAATGCTAATTTTCTTAGACTTCATATTTTAGTAAAAACATCAAAGGTTTGAATGATGCAAATGTTCTAAGCACTATGTTCAGCACAATGTTAGGGAAATCTAAAAAGTGCCTTGTTCAAGTTTAATTGGGTCTTTATTGCTTTCAAGCCTTCAGAAATCAAGAAATTGGTTTTATATGAACTTATTGAAAGGAATATTAGCATGACTTTCTAATTTTTTTTTTAATGCAGAAAAAGTGTTTTTGCCTGACAAGATAATTACTGGTGAGGAATTTGTGATTTGATCCTGGACAACTATCAACATCTTAACCTAAAGGTATTCTATTGGAGAAAAAAAAAAACATGGCAAAATCCAAAAAAGGATTTATTACAAACTACAGGAACCTGGAAAAACTTTCTGCAAAGACACTACACTGAGCAACTGACTAATTGGAATGATCCATTGAAAAAGAAAAGACATTTTTCTAGGCAAGGAAGTTGACCGCTTGTTGCATGTTATGTTCTATCTTTAAGTGAGACATTGCCGATAAATAGGGAGCTGACTGATGTCTAAATGAATTAATGCTTCAATGAGGTAACAGTTTAGTGAATTAAAGTGCTGGTTTATGAATTTTGGGACAGTAATTATGATTTCAATCCCTGGTCAAGGCAATGTATACTCAGTGGGAATGTTGGATAAGCAATAACTGAGCAGTACTAAAACAAGTACTAGATGAGATAATTATTTACATTATTCGGACTATTGTCCTCATCTTTGTCACCATATTTATCACAATGTTTCGGCCGTTGTACGCTCCGGCCTTCTGGGTATGAATTTCTGGGTATTATAAACTTAATGTCTTCAGCAACCATGTGTCCTCATGGATAAAGGCATTGGTTAGATTCAGTGACAGCACCCAAAGAGTGTGAGTTCAATACCTGGTTAAGACAGTGGAAAACTTTGTGAGGGAAATTAACAGGAGATAACTGATAACTGACATCCATCAAACATGGCACGTGGAACTAGAACAGTCTATCCCAGTGAGTGAAATAAAGGGTTCAGTTCGACATTCCAAACACCTGAAAAAGGCCGGAGCATACAATGGCCGAAATGTTGTGATAAATATGAGATAACCATAGACATGAGCAGTGGAAGGAGAACAGTCTTCCTCACGTAGAAGGATTGTTTGAAATTTTCTGTAGGTTACCTGGATCAACATATAACTGATGAAGGACAAAGGACACAATGGCTGAAATGTTGTGACAACAAAACGAGGACATTAATTCACATGAAAATAATGATAAAGCCTCATCCCAGAAATTCAGGTAGAAATTGTCTTCATGAATGTTTGAAACTAGATGTGATGCTAAATCTTTTTGGGAACCCAGTTCCTCAAAGTTTTGTGTAAACATCTAATATATTTCCAGGTAGTTAGAATATTTGCTTTCTGACAATGAGACAATCTTTTACAAAGCACACATTAAATGTATTAGTTGCTCACCATAATAGACTGACTACAATTTTGATTTAAAAAATGCTACTCTAATTAAAACAGAAAACAATTAACTAAGAGAAAAATGTTTAGAAAGTGCTTTAATTGCTAGATCAGTAGCAATTTGTATTCATGTTCTTACAACATTTCACCATTCTTAGCAGATCTTCTGTTATCACAATTTGGGATATTTAATAACAAAAGTTATGGAAGCACTAATAGAAATAAAAATAATCTAAATGATATTGGCTAGATTATATACCCAAAACACATTAAAAAAAAAAAAATTCATCTTTAAATTTAAAATTATCAGTGTTTCTCATTTGGGCATGTGTAGTTGCATCAATGTAAGCATAAAATTAATCTGATGAAGTCCTCATGAACAAAACGTGCCACATAAAACTTTTTCTTTGACATTCTTTCCCTTAAAATTAAGGGCAGATAAGTTTCTTATAGGAGTCAACGAGGTATATATATATATATATATATATATATATATATATATATGAATAAAACAATAGTTAGCCACCCACCCATATTCGAGGATACTCGTCTACTAGGGTGGTTAGCCAAGCCCTATAGCAGATGCCCACTCTGGTGCATTTGTGTTTGTTTAACCTGTGGTTTAGACTGCATCTATGCTGAGCAGACCTAAGTTACAGTTTCTGGGAGAGAGCAGGATCTGAACAAGGCCAGCACTCTCAAACCCTCAGTCATGATGACGTGTGACTTTGTGCTAGCACAGCCAACAATGGCTCTCAAGGATTTCCTCTACCCAATTTCACTCAAGTCTTTGGTCAATCCGTGGTATGGTTTTACAAAGATTCCACATGCTGTGATTGCTCCTTCCAGACTGTTAACATCAGGAAATCTCCTTCGTCACAAATCGACTAGACTCAAAACCAAGAGTCTCATGGTCAGAAAGTAAATGTTCTAATCACTTGGCCAAGTGCCCATATATATATATATATATATATATATATAAGGCTAGAATGGCAACCTTCATAGAGATGGTGTCTCAATATAAGCACTTGTCTACTTGAACTGCTGTGAGTGTTTGATTTGGGTGACAGAAAGACCATCTGGCCTTGTAAAACCTTGCCTCAGATCATTATGACAAATCCTCTGTCAGGCAGAACTCACCTTGCTTTGTTCTGAGATTAATTCTGGTCCTGGCTCAACAAAAATTGGTATGGCTATCTATATATGTATTACCAATTTTAATTTAGAAAATCAGGCACCTTGTTTAGTGAGACAAATCTAGTTGACCATTGCTTATAACTGAGTGCCTCCTACAAAATTTGATGTTAATCAGACAAAAGTTTAACATGAAATAAAATCAACCAATTAAGCATTAAAAAACACTGCTAAAGAATTTAGGGTAAGACCTAACAGAATATAACTTAGATTTTATTGATCAAAGACTGATCTGATATAATTCTTTCTCAATAGCATTAATTCTTGTGAAAAAAACAAAGCTTTCCAAAATTCTAAATGTTCTGATGAAAAAAATTACCTTTGTTCGTCCTAATTCAAACTGGAACATTTCTTTGATTGTTGGTTCGAAAATAACGGCGGGAAATAAATTTGTTCCAGGTTCCACCTGTATAGAAAAGAAAAAAGTTATCAAAGGTATAGAAAAAAAAAAAAAAAAAATCAGTTCAAAGTAAAAACAAGTAAAATTAAATATTACTAAAAATTTATATATCAGAGATGTGCTGTCTAGCTAGGCAAGTCGGTTTCTATCCATGCATTGTGTTGACAGTATATTATAAATAGGATATATATAATCTCGACAAAGTTTCAAATTATTGACAATTGGGAAACATTCATGAATGTAGGTTTTAAAATATATGTAATTGTGCATTTCGCCGTTTAGGCTTTATAAGATCAAATGTATGTGCATCTTTGTGGAAGTTTAAAAATACATATATATCCAGACAAGTTTTGTTAAATTACACTGACAAGTCTATCTATTCAACCTATATTTATCATCTTAAAGAACATTTTTTTTGCCTTTCATCAGCATGGCTGATACTAACCTTCAGATGAGCAACTTCTTGTCCTTTCTTGGTCTCAAGTTTTCCACTGATATTAATTTGAATGATTATATTGAATCAATTGCTAAGTCTGTGACTAGGAAAATCAGTAAACTATATCATGGAAGAAAATTTTTCTCACCAGAATTGATCTTACACATTTAGAAATCTACCATTCATCCATGCATTGGACATTGCTGTCACATCTGGTCAGGTGCTATGCTATCTGTTTAGAAAATCTTGACAATTCTAAGGAGACTTTGCAAAATTATCAGACTTGACCAACCGTGAACATTAAAAAAATAATTTTTAATTCCTATTTATGCTTCAAAAGTAAACACTTCATACCTTTTCTGGAATGTACAAATGGTTATCTTCCATTTTGAATCATTTATTTAGCAAATATCGTGAATAGTTTATTTTGGGGGTTGCTCAGAGATAACCGAGTGTGAAGAAATCAAAACTGTGCATAAAGAAGATCACTGTTAATTTATCCACTATCAAAATATCAGAAAAGGAAGAGAGATATGCAGATGAATACGCAAGGAATTACTTAACTATTTAGAGAATTTGGCAATACAATTTGCAAACTCTTAGTTTCAACTATTTCAAAGTAAACTTAGTTACGTATACAACAATCTTCAAGTACTGCTAACAAAGGATAGCAGAAAAGGCCATATTAAAATCAGTGTTTAAAATTAAAACTTTTGAGTAATACCTCCCTCTCACTCTCACACACAGACGTGAGGTCCCTACAATTAATATGTGATTTATTTCCAATCTGCTAGGAATGATTGCAAAATACTTTCCTCTTCCCAATTTCTAGACAGAAGCACATAAATGCATGCTGGAATTTCTTCCTAACCGATAAGACAAGCCACTTGTTGGTTTCATCTGACTAAGTCCTGGTCTGTCTTGTCTTGAAGTCTGAATGTTCACTTATCCCAATTTGCTCTTGTGTGTCAATCCTAATTCTTATTTTGCCCAAATTTTTGCCATATTACTTAATGTTGCTTTGCCCTATTACTGTCTTACATATAATGTTTGCTTGATTTAAATTATTTTTGGCACTGTTTTTTTTTTTGTTATTGTAATTGTTTATTGCAAATGTTGTCAAATTTCTTGGGCAGTTCTGTCATTCATTTACATTTAATCACGGCCACTGACTCTACACAGTTTATCCACTGTTCTTGTTAAATTGGTACTGAAAAAATGTTGGATATATAAAAATATGGAAATAAAAGATAAATACTGAATTAAGAAAAAAGGCCAGTTGGTTGAACAGAAAGGTCTTTGACAGATAATAATATTCAATACATAATGTGTAAAAAATTATCTAGCACATGAACCAACTTCCTTAGCAGCAGACCTAGCAATTGATTTAAGACTTTCCATTTCATATCTAATGAAATTACTACTACCATTCACACAAGGCAGAATTTGACTTAGATCTGATTTTCAATGAGGTGGTGAGAAGGAAATCTGATGGAAAAACCTTGTACATAGAAAGACACATACAGGAATTATAGATATGCAAATATCAAAGAAGATAATAATTTGAAGATGGTGTGGAATATTAAAAATAATTAAGCTCAGTTCTTCACACAATGTGGAAAGTTGTGTAATATTTGAATTAAAACTATCCCAGAACTTTCAAAAACAATTGAATTCTCTAATGTTGAAAGACATTACTTGATCAAATAGCAAAGTGTTCTATAATAAAATTAACACCAGCTATTTCATGTTCATAAAGCTGCTTACAACTGGGATGTTGTGTTGGAATATGAATGAATTCAGTGAAGCAATAAAATTACTCTAGTGAAATGTGTGTAGTTTACATAGAGAAGTTAAAAGAGAGCTGCATTTGAGCAACATCAGAGAGAATGGCAGCAATATCGATGACAAAGGGGGCGGCAGCTGAGCGATGACTGAGGGGGCGGCAGCTGAGCGATGACTGAGGGGGAGGCAGCTGAGCGATGACTGAGGGGGAGGCAGCTGAGCGATGACTGAGGGGGAGGCAGCTGAGCGATGACTGAGGGGGAGGCAGCTGAGCGATGACAGAGAGGGCAGCAGCTGAGCGATGACAGAGAGGGCGGCAGCTGAGCGATGACAGAGAGAGAACTTACCTGGTATTTGTTTGCCACCTCTTTTCCATTGACACTAAAACTGAGAATGCCCGTAGCTGTGTCGATGAAACATCCAATTACAAGGCCTGGGGAGGATTTCTTGCTTGATTCTTCATGCGTTCCACCATAACGTTGTTGAAGAGCACCGGCACACACCATGTAGCAATTCTTTCGGCTAACACTGCACAAGACACAAGAACATGTTTAAGTTATTCTTATAGAAATGGCTTCATTGAAGATTTAATCTAGAAATAAGAAATTGTGTGTTTATTATACAGATTATAAAGTTAGAAATTATTAGGTTGGGTCATAAGTAATTTGTTTTTTAGAATCACTTGTAATAATGCATCAACAGAACTACTAAACATATATAGCAGTTGAGAATAAAATTGGAGTACACGAGTAAATTTTAGCATTTTTAATAGCAGTTTACATAGCGGATTATTCTTTTAAAAGTGATGATTAGAATTGTAATAAGTTTAACATTTGATGAAAGTGAATTTATACATTTTTTTTGTTACAGATTATCAACATAAATATTATTCACTATTTCTTTATTAGATTATTTACTTACAAAAATAATTGTATATTTATAACATTCTAAGAACTAATACAATTTTATTAAAGCTAATGCACTAAAATATTTATCATTTACCAATTTATAAAGAATTAAATGTGAAAATTTTTTATTCACAAAATTATAAACATTTACTAAATTATCAAAATATGTGAACAAACTATAAGCAAATTCTTATTATTTACCATTTTATAAAGTTTGAATCAATTGGCAATTATTGTAAATCCCAATGTATAATATGCCTTCATCCATAATACACACACCTAAAATTGTGCTGAAAGTGTGGGAAAATGCTTCTACTCACACATAATACATACACCTTGTTTGGTAATCAAACCCTATAAATTGTACCTTTACAATTTCATTACTGCCAGGTTTTCCTACTCTTATTTAAAAAATAGTTTTGAACATAGAATAATATTTTTCTAATTTAGTTTTATGATAATTCTTATTTTATTTTATAGCCATTTTTTAAAGATTTTTTTGTAACTGTACATAATACACACCCCTGATTTTGCTTATTATTTTTTAGAAAAACATCTATATTATACATGGGGAATTATGGTAGTTGATGTTTTGCCAACCATTCTAACAAGCAATATAATAAATAGAGTAAATAAACAATCTAATAGATAGGGTTTAATATTTTTGTTGTCAATTCTCAGGAACAAAGAAAATGTATAAATTCATTTTCATGTGTTTAGGTTTTATTAAAATTCTAATCATCTTATTATAAAACACAGATTGTGTGTGTGTGTGTGTGTGTGTGTGTGTGTGTGTGTCTGTACATTTATATATTGGATCGGATTTCCTACATTTTTCAACAAAACTTCACAGGACTGCGTAAAATTACCTTGCGGTGGTTCTGACAGTGCCCAAAATTGGAAAAACACAACTGTTTTTGCACGAAATCAATTTGAAAACATGATTCTGTCGCCAGAATGAAAGGGGGACAACTCATATCGAGTTATACTTATAAAACCCAGATTGTTTGTGTGTGTGTGTGTTCATTTATATATGGGATCGGATTTCCTTTTTCAACTGATTTCAACAAAACTTCAAATTTTTTGGCAGGTAGTGTTTCTTATTGTCTTGCACACTTTTTTCTTTATTTTTGCATTCAGAATGCTTTAAAAATTCCATTTACAAGACAATTGTTTATAATAAAATTCTATTCAATCGATAGACTCTTAACGATTGAAAACAAAGTTCTTGTTTGAGTTTGACCAATTCATAAAAAAATCCAAAAAACAAAAAAAAAACTAATTAAGACATGCGTGTCTGTCAACCTTAAACAATAATCTTTGACAATTTTATTTTTCAGCCTTTATGATGGTTGATACTTGATCTATCTCTTACTGTTACTGTCCCCGGGCAACGCCGGGCTCTACTGCTAGTTACTTTTTAAAACAAACATTGCTGATGAATGAAGGTACTTAAAATAATAGCAGTTTCAAGGGAAAAACCATCCTAGAGTTTGTTTTTTCAGGAAAAATGAAGTTATTTGCAATGCAAGAAATAATTCTGATCAACCTTAATATACATATTACATTACATTTACATTATTCAGAGAAATGTCCTCATCTTTGTCGCCACGTTTATCACAACATTTTGGCTGTTGTACGCTCCAGCCTTTTTCAGGTGTTTGGAATGTCGAACTGAACCCTTTATTTCACTCACTGGGGTAGACTGTTCTAGTTCCACGTGCCATGTCTAATGGATGTCAGTTACCTCCAGTTAATTCCCCTCTCAAAGTTCTCAACTGCCTTAACCAGGTATTGAACTCACACTCTTTGGGTCCTGTCACTGGATCTAACTAACGTTTTTATCCACTGTGACATGTGATGTTGTTATAAACATGGTGACAAAGAGGAGGACAATAGTCCGAATAATGTAAATAGTGTACATAATACCTCATCTCAGAAATATAGACAGATACTGAAGGGCCGAAACGTTGTAATAAATTTGGCAACAAAGAGGAGCACAATAGTCCGAATAATATAAATAGTGTACATAATACCTCATCTCAGAAATATAGACAGATACTGAACCTTAATATATTAAAAAATGTAATAAAATGAAAAAATATCCATTGTATCCATGAGACACACAATTTTTTTTCTACAGGCTGTGGCAAAAATATCTCCCAGAAATATATCTCATATAATGGTAAGGCATCTAGATGAAGACACTATTGCCACCAATATCTTACCATTATGTGGGAGGTATTTTTGTTTCAGAGTGTAACTTACATGCTAATGAAGAAACAAGCAGAATTGTTAAAAATTACTTACTCTCAGAATTTCAAAATACAATGTATGAAGTCGTTAATCTAGTTAATTAAAGATGATAAAATGTAATATTATTCTTACCTTTGCCTGTATTTGTATTCAGTGTCTTGAGTAGAGATGATGACGTTTCTGATTTTCTTCATATCAAAGGACCCACCTCCCATATGGAAGCCAGGAGTTACCCAACCCACATACACTTGGTTAGGATCCTGACCCGGGAAAATACGGACAGAGTAGTAATATTCATGCATGCTTTCAGTCATGGCATTCATCTCTGCAATTTCAGCCTCTGACATTTCGTAGTCAGATCCCATGGATGCATTGCTAAATCCATGGTGTATGTCCTTATCTTGAAATTCATATGGGATAATTCCATCAGGTCCTTCAATATTGATGGCAGGGGCACCTTCCAGATCACCACCTTTCTGGGATATATTCTGAGAGCTTGTGGCCGAACGGTTTGAACGTTGAGATCTTCCTCCAAGTCTGCCAGGTTTTAGTGAGTCGAGAGTTTTGGACTTGGCATCTTTTGGAGTGGGAGATGGCTCTCTTGATTTGGATCGTCGGAAGAGAGTCGCAAACGGAGACTTTGAAGTCTTGCTGGCTTTGGTGGTTTTTGACTCACTGATCTTGTCAGCTAACAGAGAAAGTTTGGAAGAAGATTTCTTTCTTTCTGTCTCTACACCCAGAAACCCATCAACTAACTGGGATTCACTGGCTGCTGATTTCATGCCTGGAAGTGATGGATCGTGCACGGTTGATTCATCCAGAGAATGATGTGCACCCTTATTTCTCAGGAAAGATGTTCTCCTCTGATCAGCATCCAGCACCGACTCATCATCGGTGAATCCACGATGCAATGCTAAAAGTCAGAGAGGGAGTTGAAAAAAGAAAGAAAAAACAGAAAATATTAGCAAGTGAATTAAGAAATAAACTGTGTTTTTAGTTAAGATTGACAAAAAATATATACATAATACCAAGCTAGCCAAAATCTTAAGACCAAGGGGGAAAAAAAAAAAAAAAAAAAAAATACAACTTTTGCATTGTTAGATTCAACCACTTATTTGAGTAAAGCTTCAGAAAATGAAAATAAAAAAAGGAAAAATAAAATTAAAAACTGTTTTAGCATTAAATTTGGGGGAATTATGCTTTATACTAGCTGGCCAAAAGTTTCAGAATATTTATCTTTATTTTACTTGGTCTTAAGATTTTGGCCAGCAGAGAGAGAGTGTGTGTATATATATATATATATATATATATATATATATATATATATATATATATATATATATATATATATATATATATATATATATATATATATATATATATATAAAAAAGCATGGTGGAGTAGTGGATAGCAGCTCAGACTGAGAAATTGAAGAGCTGATTTCAAATTCCAGTCAAATCCATTACATTCACTTATGTGCTAATACCCTTGGGAAAAGGTATTAATACTCTTCCTCCTCCAGCTATGGGTAAATAGCAGGACAGACTTGGTTCTGTAGCCTTGGATGGCAACTGGTCTAGACCAGTTGCCATACAAGGCCAACTCTGAATTCAAAACCTGCTGAGGGTTGTTTGAGGACCTTGTGGCATGTAGTGCTGTATTCGGCCTTGCAAAAAATGTGGTTGGTTCTACACAAAGCCTTCAGCACTATAATCAAATCATATGTACTGGTGTCTAGCTGTCGGTTCCTAGGAACTTAGCTACTTGATCCTCATATGTCAGATACGACGGGGAGTCCACCATATATATATATATATATATATATGTATGTATATATATATAAAAAGAAAGAACAGTAAGATAATAAGTAATTTTAAAAGTTACTCCAAAATTCACTTGAGGATGAAATGGAACTAATGCTTTTAATTTAATTGCAAAATTAAATTTGGGGCTTTAAGCTTCTATTTTTGAAACATGGTTAGAACTGTGTAGCAGAAAAAAACCATATTTTAAATCAATTAATTATATTATATATATATATATATATATATATATATATATATATATATATATATATATATATATATATATATAAAATCAAGGACTATAAATCAATTCTGAATATTTTTAACCATTTCTCAGAATCTAATGCCTGTATAATGCCAGGTTTTTTTACATGTTAATAAGCACAAAAAAGTAATATAAAACTCAATTTTCAGAACAATAGTTTAAATGCAACAAATTTGACAGGCAAATTATGCAAAATAGGAAAAGACAAAATTGTTTGTACAGTAGAAAATATTGCTTTAAATTG